AGAAAATAGAACCTTTAGGTTCTATTTTCTTTGTTGCAAGTCATGGTGGAAGGATTGCAACACGGCCACCTTTAACTCCAGGCCTTAGCCTGGTAGAATTGGCAACGTTGCAAGTGGTGTTGTCTAGCGCTAGCCGTCCCATAAGATTACATGGCTGGCAGGTGACACCAGCTCATTAATTCGCGTATTATTCATTTAAATTTAAATTTATGAACATTAATTGATTAAAATATTGAAAATAAAATATAGAATTGAAAACAAAAACAATGTTTGAATTAAAAATCTATTTTTGTACATTAAATTAGAGTCGATATTTTCATAGCCCAGTAAACAAGCTTTTGTATTCTTAAAATATATACAAATTACCATTAACCACCTCCAAACAAAACAGCTGTTACAACCCACACTTCGATGTTCGATGTTCGACTTTCGATGTTGCCACTTCGAAGGCCACAGCCTGGAGTTAAAGGTGGCCGTGATTGCAAGTAGTGTGGTTTACACTGCCACCTAACTACAGGCCGTGGCCTGGTAGAATTGGCAACGTCGCAAGTGGTGTTGTTTAGTGACAGACGTCACATAAGATAACATGGCAGACAGGTGACATCAGCTCATTAATTAGCACTTTATTGATTTAAATTTAAATTTATGAACATACATTTATTAAAATATTGGGGAAAAAAACATACAGAATTGAAAACCGAAACAATATGAATTAAAAATCTATATCTGTACATATTTAAGTGGAGTCAATATTGTCATAGTCCAGAAACTAATCTTTCGTAAATACACAAATACCACCAAATACCATTAGCTGCTTCCAAACAAAAGAGCTGTTACAACACCACTTGCAACGTTGCCACTTCGAAGGCCGCGGCCTGGAGTTAAAGGTGGCCGTGATTGTTTAGCACCAGACGTCCCATAAGATAACATGGTACCATGTCTACTAGACCTAGACAGCTGACACCAGCTCATTAATTCGCGTATTATTCATTTAAATTTACATTTATGAACACAAATTTATTAAAAGATCAAAAATAAAACAAATAGAATTAAAAAACAAAACAGTATTTGAAAATAAATGTTTGTGCATTTGAAGTGGAGACAATATTTTCATAGCCCAGTAACCAATTAAACTTTAGTATTATTAAAAAATACACAAATGCCCAAGCATTAGCTGCCTTCAAACAAAACATCTGTTACAACTCTATTTCACTATTTGTGACATTGCCACTTTAAGGCCTTAAAGGTAGCCGTGACTCAACACAACTTAAAACAGACTATTGTCTCTGCGTATTCGCTTTACAACCCCTTTCCAAAACAACGAAACACACTGTAAGTTAGTGATTATTTTACTAAAAATTTACTGTATTTAAATTGTCACAACAACCATGCGCACGCATAGAATAGCTTATTGTGATGGGTCATTTCGAAAGGTATAGTGAAATTCTGCGTTTTATTGCTTCCGTCACCAGTAAACATATATAGTAAACAGTACTCTGTTCAACTTGATGTTATGTTGAATGTCATCATAGATCTTTTTTATTTAAGCGTCCCAATATTATAGGATTATTAATTGTGAGTTTCGGGCATCATATTATCTTTGCCTTTATTATGTGATTGTAATAAAGATCAATGAAAATAAATATTTCTTATTGTCTTATTCTTATGTGCACCAGTGACAAATTTAAATGTCAATCAAAACCATCTGTCTTTACGCCAGCGTCGTCTAATAATTATTATTATAATGCCAACTATTTTATTACCATCTTTTTGGTCGTTGACCCATCGTCTGACAGGAATAAATTATATCAGCGTGAAAAATACTAAATTGATTTCCAGGAAGTATAAAAAATACTCATAGAACTATATAATTAAAAACGTAATTTAGTTACTCATAGCGATCGCTGTGTCACTGCCACTAATAATTACTGAGCCCACCCAGACTGTCTTCAAGTACCTAATTCTTTTATTGAGTGGTAAGCAGTTTTACGGAAGAGGTTCCTATGGTGGTTCTGAACTCTGCTATCCAGAGTCTTTGTTGCAGCTTGGAATCTGTTAAAGAAACGGGTGGAGCTTCCGCGAGGGTACGATTCTCAATTTATACTGAGACATGCCACGGTAAATCCAGTTGATTCCAACCTCTTGGTTAAGTATATGATTATATCAACATTTTCCACCAATCCTTGTTTTTTGTTCTTTATTTTTAGCAAGCACGCACATACGTATATGGTAATTGAAATAGCCCACGTTCTGGAAGCTGGGGTTGTTGTGCTCACGGGGGTGACAACTACTTATGATACGCACAGCTTTCTTCTGAAGTTTCAAACTGCATCTCCTTCAGCAGCATGTCCCCTTAGATAGATGCCGTAAAGATGTGACAATTATTGCAATTATTATTATTATTATTATTTGTTATTATTATGTGACAATTATATATTGCATGGTATACCAGGGTTAATAGAACTTGTAACACACTTTTCCAGGCTCCACTAAATAGAAGCATGACACGAGCCAGCTTATAACGCAGACTTGTAACACAATCGCTTCAGTCTTGCGTTAGGTCAAGGTAGAATCCCAACAGTATTATATTCCCACCATCCCACCATGTTTTTTTGGGTGCGCATCAGCGTGCAAGTCATTTAGTTCATCTTTGTAGATATCAGGTTTTATTTGGTTGAACGAGGTTTAAATGACTGAAATAACAAGAAACAGATTGTAATTAAAAACTCTTTCAAAGTTTAGAGGCCAAAAGTGGCATAGTGTTTAGATCGTACGACATGTCTAAGGCCTTTGACAAAGTGTCTCATGATCTCCTTGTGGATAAGCTTTCTTGCTATAACCTTGATGCAATTTTGGTTAGGTTCTTTCAATCTTATCTCAGTGACAGATGGCAAAAAGTCTATCTAAACGGCACTTATTCTAGCCATGTTCGAGTGCTCCACGGAGTGCCCCAAGGCTCTATATTGGGCCCTACCCTGTTTATACTGTATATAAATGACTTACCTTGTAATATTAATGACTTATCTGTAAAAAGCTTTCTTTTTGCTGATGACTTGGCCTTGTGTGTACGGGGTAACTCTTTGAATGACGTTACAGATACATTGGATACAAAATCTGCTGTTATTAATGACTGGTGTAATGCAAACAAGTTATGTCTTAATGCTGATAAGACTCAAGACCTAACTATTAGTCTTAGCAGTAATGGTAATAATGATGTAAACACTCTGAAGTGCAGTCAAACTTGAAGTGGTTTTCACATGTAGATTTTGTAGCTTCTAAAATTGTAAAAGGCATATTTATGATAAGAGCACTTAGGTCCACTGTTTCAGTTGATGTCCTTATTTGTATATATTATGGCCACATTCATAGCTATTTGTCCTATGGTACCTCACTGTGGGCCAACAGTTTTTATGCTAACAGGTTGCTCTTTACTTTACAAAAGAAGGCGGTGAGGTTAATTTGTAGTGTGAATAGAAGAACACATTGGAAGCCCCTTTTTGTGGGTCTTAACATTCTCACATTTCCATCTTTGTATGTTTTGGCAAGTTTGTTGTATGTAAAAGAAAACATTTCTCACTTTAAAAAGATATCTGATGTGCACAACTACTGTACTAGATCAAAAGATAATCTGTCTACACTAAGGCATAAGTATACAGCCACTCAAAATAGTTTTTCCTACAGTCACCCGACAAAGTTGGCTTCCTTGTACTGTTTATAGTACAGAAAGCTGCTAATTGCTGCATATTTATACTTTGCCGTACAGTTTATACTTTGCCGTACAGTTTATACTTTGCCGTACAGTTTATACTTTGCCGTACGGTTTATACTTTGCCGCACATCAGGATTCCAACGAAACAACACAAAACAGCGTGGTTCTATTATGCACGTAATCCGTGTACGCTTGGAAATAGGTTGGCAACACTTAAAGATAATAATACTATGAGCAGCTGATTGACTATTATAACTACGATTTGACCTATCATTTCGTGTTTATAGTTTCGGTATTTCTGAACTTTCTGGACTTTTCTTTTAAACGTTTTTAAAACATTCCTACGATCTTAATAAACAAGAAAATATCTTTAAAGCATTTTTTTAGGCGCGGAAACCACTTCAAATTATAAAAACATACGGAACTATATTCTCAAAAGCACATTTCTTGCCGAGGAAAAATAGCGGAGTGATACGGACCGCGGGTACTACTTTCTCTAAGGCTACCATTTGTGTTGCCAGCTGAACCTAAAAACGTGTCGTATAGTGTTTGAAAGACTAATTATTTATATGCTTTATAGTGACTGTAGGAAAAATATAATGTGTAACACGAGTGAAAAAGGCCTTTGCTGCACTCGAGATCATTCCGCACTCGCCTGCGGCTCGTGCGTAAACATTGCTCTCGTGTGCAGCAAAGTGCCACTTTCACCACTAGTTACACAAATAACTATTGAGTACCAAGGTGTTAAAATGTACAATTTCTTGCCTGCAACCATCAAAAACCTGTGTGTTTTAAAATTCAAACATGTTTTAAAAACTACTCTAACCAAGGCTTGCCTGTATAAAAATGAAGAGTACTTTGGTTTAGAGTTTTAGATATTTTAGTTGCCAGAACCATCTTGATTGTTTTGTTTTTATTTTGACGATTGTCATGAACTTTGTACATAGTTTTACCGACAATAAATCATCTCATTTCATTTCCTTTCATTTCATATCAACTCTGTGGCACTTACAAAACCATTGTCTTTAGCAGATCTCTAAGGATGGTCAATCTACTAAAGAAGTATGTTTTATCTATGGTTTTATCTACAGTTTATTCTATCCATGCCAATATTGCATTTAATCTATGCCTAAAATCTATCAAACCCCAGACAAAGAATTAAAATACTTTAACTTACGCCTATTATTTCAGCAGACCATATTCTCAAACCTTCTTCTTCAATATTTGTCTCATGGTCTCGTCTCGTAGTCTGTCTTCTTAAATTCGATTAAAACTTGAAACGAATGGTCAAATGGAAATGGAACACAAAAAAATTGAAGTGAAATTTTTAAGGAACGTTTTGAGGTTATACCGTACGATTTGTTATAATAAATTTGTCGTATCAGAACTATATATTCTACTTATATCTAAATAATGTTCGTTCTCAGAAATTTGGTGAGGTCAGATTCTAGCAAAATACGTTCCTTTTCAAGATGGTAAGTCTTGTACATTTAGGAATAGTGTCTCTCATAGGGCCGAAATAGTTTACAACCGAGATGAAGGTGTAAGGAATATATTATTAGGCTAACTACTTTGTTATAGCTTAGCTGGTATTGGTTTGGTATTACCAACAAGCTTTCCAGATGGAGTATAATAATTACTAACTATTAAGGCAAAACTTATCTGACTCCATTATAATATTCTACATTTTGGGCTTTAGTTAGGCCTAACTTAGGCCTCGTTAAAATCTTGGTTAGAATGAAAATACTGTATTGATTAACTTATTCCATATATTGATTAGCCTATTTCATTAGTTTGGTTAGGTTAACCTAACCAACCACACTTGATACCTATATCAAATGAAATAATCGGTTGATCGATATATTCATTCGGTTGTTTTGGCCCCACTTATGAAAGTCTATCCTGATTGTTTAGTTTAGTTGTTTTGTAATAGCATATTAACAACACAGGTTAAATTATGTTAACTTTAAGCCAACATAAAGGGTTGTTTTTTTTTTTGTTAGTAACCAATAGGCCTACCAATGACTTATCTAAACTACTGTAACATTTTTTAGTTGTGTTCGAGCTCAAACAGCAGCTGAACCTCTTTCAACCCCCACTCCTGATGGACATCCAATAAATATAACACCCAAGATTGAAAAGCTTGTGGCAGATATTTCTCAGCTGACATTAGTCGAGGTATCAGAGCTGAGCACGGCCTTGAAGCAGCGACTGAACCTTCCAGATGCTCCGATGATGGCCATGGGTGCGATGCCGGTTGGGGCAGCCCAACCTCAGGTGAGAAGACTGGTGACAGTTCTGATATTTTATAAATATCAATAAGTTATCAAGCCGTATTTCAATGCAATTCACTAAGCAATGAATTCCTGATTATCACTACAACAATTTATTTTGTTCACTCTATTCAATTTTATTTTCTTAGACGATCCATCAATTCTTAGTTCGTACTTTGTTTTCAACCTTTGGGGACAGGGACAAGAATTATGAAAATATTGAAAATTCAATTGGTCGTAGTTCATTTAGTATTTGTCTCCGCTGAGAAATGTTTGCACCATTATTATAAGGTAAAAATCTAGTTTCTGGTGATATGTGAGTTACTATAGGTTCCCATGGTCATCTCATTAAGCTATGCATAATTTCCAAAATATGAGTTTCTGATCTCTAATATTCAGCTTTGCAATATCTAGACAGGACAACGGCAGTTTCAGAAAACCAGCATCCATCATCAGGTCTAATTCTAGAAAGTTCCTAATGTGCTGGCTTTAGTTTTAAATGTGTTCCATGGCAGTACCAGATGATTGTTAATGTTATAGGTGGACACACTTTGACTCTTTAAAAAGTCCATATAAGGAAAAGTCTGCTTTTACACATTTAAAGGAACATTTTTGTGTGTTGTAGGAGGATGATGAAGATGCTCCAACAAAAGCTGTCAAGACCGACTTCACTGTTAAATTGATGAAATATGACGAGAAACAAAAAGTTGCGCTCATCAAGGAAATCAAAAACCTTCTGGAAGGCATGAACTTGGTCCAGGTAATTACCTTTAATGAGTAGGCGTACACATTAGCTTTTACTGCTATTTATAGGTGGGATGTCTAATCTCAGTTTCCAAAAGTCAAAGAACTTAAATAATGGATCTTGTTTAAGCTTTTAATTGTTGTAAGTTTTAGCTAAAATCTATGCTTTTAAGGAAAACAGGTTAGCAGGTCAATATTTTTTTGTATACCGGTAATAAAAAAATTCAGAATTTTACCTAGCCTAGTTTTCAAAATAAATTATTACTAGAAGAGAAACTGACTGAATATCCGTACATTTCAATTTTAATAAATAAACTATAATGTAAACTTCTTCATTGCGTACGGTACTGTAAAATGGCTAGAGTAAAAGTAAACAATTAGACGTGTATATGATGAAAACTGTTATAAACTTTTCTTTCAATCTATACACAAAAACCTGTTTTAGCATTTAATTCATTTTCCTACAGGGTGTGGTAATTGAGTTTCAATACTAACTAGTGTGGTCTGCCGTTACACTTTAGACGCATAAATGAGCGAAGCATTATTTAAAGATTGTCAATGGCTAAAGCAGCTTACACCCCACAATATGTTCCCTTTCAACAGATTCACCGTTTGTTTGCCCGATATTATTTAAGTTCTAAAGAATGACTAATTTATCTGATAGTTCATACTGTACCTTTGTAGTGATACTGGCCATCCTGACCATTTGCTTGTACTTTGTAAATGGGCATAGCAGGATGTACTCGTGCAATCAACATTTGTTCTACAATCGTCAGGTCAGTTAATTTGTTCGGGACACTTGACACATCCATATTATTTAACGCCGTGAATTTAGTTGCATTTGAACGACAACGCGAACAAATCGGTGATTAGTTTGAAGCTGTTAGTTGTTGGCGATGACAGTAAGTGCAAATGTAAAATTTTAGTGCATCTAATTCATGTTGGAATTGATTAGCTAACTGCCTATCATTATCAGCTTCTTCCGCCACTGCTTCATCTGGTTCTTCTTGTTCACGACGCCACTCTCTTACAATATTTGCATTATTGGTGCGACGACCAATATTACGACGTGGTCTTTGAGGCATGCTCAAAACAAATATAGCAAAACTGTTACTTCCTTTGATAAACTGTTACATTCCAACTTTAACCTAGGATGAAAGTAAACATTGAAATGTAAACAAAACAGTTACAAACAATTAACATATGTTTATCTTATTTAAATTAAACAAAATAAACCCATATGTCATAAACCCAATATAATTTTTCTTTCAACTTACATTAAAATAACAAGCAAAATTGTGTGACCCGTAAAATAAAATCCAGAAGGAAATTCGCAAATATTTTTTACCAAAACATTGTCCTTAGTATTCTTTAGCTGTTGGCCAAATTTCATATCAATTGGTCAAGCCATTACATTCTGATATTCTTACAAAGAAGTTACAAAGTGAGGGAAAGTGAGCTTCGCTCAATTATTTCCCGTAAGTATAGGGTTAGGAAAAATAAGCAAAAACTCACAAAGAACTCATAACTGTGTTTGATTCAATTTTGTTTCTTTTTCAGGCCAAGAAATTTGTTGAGAGCGCGCCTACAGTGGTCAAGGCAGATGTGCCAAAGGAAGAAGCGGAGAAGTTGAAAGAAGCTTTAGTAAAAGTTGGAGCTGAAATCACCATAGAGTAGGCTGTTGTTTATGATAGGATAGTTTTGTACAAAGGATAGATACCACCAACCAATAAAATTTGTAATATTGACTATTGATGTTCCCTTATTGATTGAACATTGAATACCAAAACTTCTATCTGGTAGGGACTTGCAGCACATAACTTTTGACTGAACAAACATCAATCAATCAATCTATTTACTTAACATAGGTACATACATATGTTACCATAGGTGCAAAAACCATTCAATGTCTGCACTAACACATAAAACAAATATTTTCACTACTTGTCCCAGAAGTGACAAAATTCCAGGGTATCAATTATCAATTTTTTAAGATGGGGACGCCACTATGTGCGTATTTTAACCCAAATAAGAGTGTAGTATTGTTAGTGACTAAGGCTGACACGTTCCTTCTACACAGCTGTTAATAGCCCATATAGCCACTTCAATGGAGCCCCGAAATGGAACTTTAATGATGGAGTAGTGTAGTGAACGATTTTTTTTATCATGGTGCAAATGATCACACAAAGCTTCTTGGCTTCAAATAATAAATAATACAGTAGAGTCCCACAAACTCGGCACTCGATAACTTGGCCATCACCGTCTCAGAAAATTAATGATTTTTTGATTCCGAGTTAAACATGGACTCAAGCCAGCTCAAGTAAAATCATTTGCAGCTCGTACTAAGGACTTGTTGTACTATATCTAATGACTTTTAAATAAAAAAAGGCGGTTAAAAAGCTTAAAAATTGTATTGTATTGTATTATAATATTTACTTTGAAATATTTTTGATGATGTCATGATCAAAATGTCATGATGTTTGTCATGTTGGCAAAACACTTAATTGTTGTGTTGGCAACGACTTGGGGTATATTATTGCCTGATAAGGATACAGTTTTTTTTGCATTTTTGTGTTACAAGAAAATACCCAATTCGCATAAGAGTGTCATATTAAGGAAAATTTCAGAATGCATTCTCAAAAACTGCCTGATAGTAGAAAGTGAAGACGAGCAATATACGCCAGAAACGCACGAACAACTACTTCTGGCAATGTTTTGAGATAGTTGAATGTAGAACACTTGCTTGAAAACAGTGCTTTTCATAATTATGTTAAATATACAAAATTTAAGAAAACAAATCTCGTGAAGTATGGTGACAACTATTTGTGCTATTCTGTCAAACCAGAGTTGCGTTAATAGTATGGATCCATGCAGGGTTATTTCTGCCTGAATTGCAAAATCTGGCCAAGATTGGGAAAATGTCAATTGGTTTAAGTTCAAGGTCGGGTTAAACCAGAACTGTGGGTTCGCCAGATGACATTACCAAGCAAACGCAAGAAAAATACCGATACAAAGGATATGTATGTAATATCCACATCTTTACTTATGAAACGTTTATAGATGCTGACAGTTCTGAGCAAAACTGATAAGTTAAATTGATGAAATAGTTGTATTTCATACTATAACTATAAACATTTTTTATATATTGCTTCATTAAAAACCATCACACGTGATCGCTCAACTGGCTTTCACTGCTATGAAAGTAATCCTACTTTAAGGTTTGCATTAAGAAACTACAGTACTTAATACTATCATTGGTGTTATTTGAAACCACACCATAATAAACCCTCCCCTCACCAGGACACAGAATTGACAACAGACAACAAACACTTTACTAGATGCATACAATTGTGCACAAGACATGCATCTTTGTATGGTACCAAGACAAGAAAGCTGTATTCCATACTTTATTTTGGAAATCAAAGAAGTTGGAAAATAAAAACAATTGGGAACTAGATAAAAAATATAGAGTGGTTTAAAATGTTTTATTTTATCTAAACGATTAGACATTATTTACAAACATCTGCTACAGCCTATATACAGGGGCAGTTAGCGTGAATACAGTGTTTCAGTAGGTTAAACCTCCTTCCATTTACAAGAGGTTCATTTTTAATGTGCGATAATTATTCTATAAAAGGTCCGTCAACTAAATACAGATCCATATAAAATAAAGAATAACAGTAACAAAATAAGAATAATAATGAAAATTTGATGAGGTGGTTGTTTATAGAAATATATATTTGCCAAGGATGGCTGATTGAAAGATAAAATTGTTTTTCCCCTCAACTCAGAATCTAGCTTTAACGACCAACAAAGATCTGAATTTAACATTGCTTCTAAGTGCTTACTTTATTTCTTGACTATAGCTCATGTTCATAATTTGTAGAGTCCTTTTTTACATAAAAAAAAAACTTTGTCAATCACCCTATTTTCTTAGTAATTTTTGCATTATTACCCACTAACTTAAATCAACTCTTAGTCGAGGCACTTTAAAAAATAACTATCCAATACAAATAATGGTTAAATTAATTAAAAAAATCATAAAAATGATCAAGTTTTTCCCCTGATGGCATGGAAAACACTGTACAATAAAGATACACAATTTACACTAACATAATTTAGTAAGTATTGGAGAATAGTTGATTTTACGGTAAGTAATCAAATACAAAAATTGCTTTTGACGTGTCACAGAAGCTATCTTGATTATTATTAAAGATAAAAAATTAATTCAATTTGCAAAGTGTGGATATTGAGGTAGCTCCAGATATTGGAGACCTTTAAATACTGAAGTAGACAATCCTATCTCTATGGACCAGCTGTAGACATTTTTTTTACTAAAAAAGAACTTCGTTAAGTAAGGAGATCATAGAATTTTAGTTTTACACTCACAGAATGTATTAGTCTAAAATTTAAATTATATTTCCTCCCTTCGTTTTTGTCAATAAGATAGTTGGTGTGATATTAAAGATATAGCCTTTTAATGATGGGCAGTCTCAGGGACCTGGACATGTCAATTGAAACTTATTGTGCTATAGCTTACAATAAATCATCCTGCCAAATTGACCTGGTTAAAAATTAACTGTAAACAGATATGAATTATTAACATCAGCACATTTTGTCAGTAGCTCTATTCAACAATGTAAATGTTGATTCAAAAACTTTAACATGAGGATGGAATGTCTAATTCTATCAATAATCAAAGGTTTTATCATTTTAAAACAGTACAACCAACCTATTGTGGGAATTCAATTTAGAACGATTATCGGTACATTGAAACACTCAGTTGAAAATCATAAACATAATTTAAGAAACACTATCTTACATATGAGGCTCAAAGAGTTACTGATATTTACAAGGATTACACACCATATGTAGATCTTGAAAGACGACAAACCTTCGACGATGCTAAGCTTTTATCCGCGGATCTCCGACAGTGAAGTAAAATAAAGTGAAGTAGTAGTTGGCACTGAAGTAATATTGTGCTGACACTAGTTGGGCATGTAAACTAGGAATAAATAAAACCAGTCAACACAACTAAATAATTTAGAATAAGTTATTACACTAATGCAAACCAATCTCTCATTTTTTAGTTGAATTAACCTATGAAGTCCTTATAGTTTGAAATGAGAAACAAACAAAAGATAATTCAACTATTTATGACCTATTTTGGTATTTTGGGAAATGATATTGTGTTTGTCACACCAGAATCTCCACTCAGCAAAACACAAGAAAATTAACTTGTTTAGTATTTTAGTTATTTTTTAGTTTTCATATTATTTGGTTACTAACCTAAAATACTACAAGGTTTTTATTTTTTAATGACAAATGGTATAAGAAAGTTTAGTTGTATTATCAGATCCAAACGTTTCTTTTCATAAAAATCAACTTATCAATTTATCATTAACTAAGATTGTATTTTATGCTAAAGCAAATACGCCTAACTCAAGGGATACCATTGTAAAAGCAACTAATCTCATTAAATCTCTAAATATATATTCTTTTTTTTCTTATAAACTCAGCGCTCTTCAAATCCAATTCATAGAGTCAAATACATAATTTGCGCTAAACTGTAATTTCCGCATGGAAATCCGCCCCGATCACTCACAAAGACTTTATATACACTCGACATAAGCTGAACCATTCAAAAATATAAATCTTTAATTCTCGTACATTAAATACAACGGGTACTCCGACATTAAATAGATAAAATCTGTCGTAAACTTGTCTCACAGCATGAAACTATCCAACGTAACCTAACCTATATCAAATTCAACATAGGATTCTGACGAGCCAACAATCAACAATGTGGACTGAAACATAAATGCAGCTATGTTAAGAGAAATTATATCAGGGTAATGAGGAAAGCATTCAATTATGAATAAACTTAACTGGTTTCAATAAGAAATTATATTAGCCTAAAGTTATAAAACAACAATCATATATTCTGGTTATATTCTCAGTTATATTGCTGCAATGGCAATATTGTGCGAGTAGTTTGAAGACTCAAATGGGACAGGTTATGTAAAAATTAATACAACAGCGTTAAAACTATTTTATACTAATACGTTTCATTAAGCACTAAGTAAACAGGGTCCTCAGATTTGAGTCTTCAAATCCTCTAGTTGTGCATCTCAGCGTCAGCTGATTAGATAGACCTATGAGGAAGTTTGTCTATGCTCGAGAAATTGGGAGTATTATTATTTATTTATTTTTACCTTGTCTCAGGCATAGACAAATCCTATTAAATTACAACAATTAATATAACAACCAAATAAATTCTGAAATTGTAGCTACATAGAATACCTTTTAAAAAAATCAAACAAAGCATTAAACATTCTTGTGTCACTTTTTTAGGGAGTTGGAAGTTTCATACTTCATGGTTTTTATTAACCACAACATTTTTACAAAATGCACAAATATCTCTCCAATGATCGAGCCCCAATTTTTAGTGCAGGATTATTCTTGGTTGGTTGAAAATAAATTTGCCATCTCGTGTAAATCAGAGTTTTAAAAGTTTAGTATATTAATAGTGGATATAATAGTGCCATGATTACCGAAGGATATTGTTTTTAGCACGTATATTAATGAAATGTTGAATTTTTTAGTGTTCATGAACGTTAGGGTAAGTTGTATCGAATACAACAAATGTTTGGAGGGATTCAGTGACACAAGAACAGTTTGTAGTTTTGGGCTTACAGCCAGTCAATCTACAGCAGAACGCATTTCCGCCGCTGTTTTGGCGGCAAAACAGGACATAAGACAGCACGGATGGCTTCGTCAAACACTGTTTTGAGGCCTTTCTGTGTGAGAGCGCTGCACTCCAGGTACTTCACCGCTCCGATCTCCTTGGCCATTGACAGACCCTGGGAACATTTCATTGACATTTCAATTCAATATCTTTGCGCTGAAAGTAGGTTAGATTGTATAAGATTACAATAGAATGATAACCCAATCGAATCCCTCCCCCTAAAAAAAAAAAAAAAAATCATGAGGGTTCTTATCTTTGCCAAGTTGGGTAAAACATCTTCTTTAAACAGTACATTAATTTATACCCTGTGGACTCTTTTGATGAAAAACGCTTTTAACTCCATCTTTAGCTCAAACAATCATCAAATAAATACTGACTAGTTTTATTGCAAGTACAACATTGTCGAAGCTTGCAATATGTCAATATAAAAAATTAACCCCATTATGGGTGGTACCACGGAATTTTCCTCTGGAGCATTTGTTTTAATAGGCCTAGTTAAGTATGTGATATTGCCAGCCGGCACTTTAAGAGTAACAGAACCTCTCAAATATCTTTCTATGAACCGTTTGAACATTAAATAGCTCTTACACCTCCCCCGCACAACCCATATGACACCTATAGCGTTGTTTTGTTTGCTATATATTTTTAAATATGTATAGTAAGAGTTTTTTATTGATTTCATGTACACTTTTGTTGATTATACACAATTTTAAGTTTTTGTTTTGATATAAGTAAGTATAAAATTATGATGTTTGTCTAATAATTCAAAACCCAGAAAAAAATTCCTTGTGTCCCTGATCGTGTGTTAAAATCAAAGGTTAATAAAACTTGACAAAAACATAAAGACTGTGCATCCAAAGATAGTCTTGGTTCGTTTTGTGTGTGTTTTATGTAATTATTTAAAGTGAAGTTTGGACTAAGTCGCAATTCTTTAATGAAAATTTGGAAGAAGATTTTGATGATCAATTAAATAATATAGATGGACAATTTACTTCACTATACAGGTTAGTAGGGAGCATTTTTAACACCAACCGTAGCTGATTTAAAATAAATAGCAGCTTTGATTGGCGGTGGAGATGAATTAAACACAATATTACCTGAGGATATGTTATTGGAGAGAGTTTTTTCTCCTTCAACTTCTCGATGGTCTCCTTGTCCTCTCTCAGATCAAGCTTGGTTCCAACCAGGATGATGGGAGTGCTGGGACAGTGATGCCGTACTTCAGGGTACCACTGTAGCACAAAATATCCCAACATTATCACTACTGAAATGTACTAGAAGACACTCCATACTTTGAAACTTTATGTCTAATCATTTAGTTATATTAGAAAAATAACATGTATTGTAATCATGATTAGTACAAGAAAACATTTCATCCATTGCAGTTTAAAAGTTGTCTTACCTTAGCTCGGACGTTCTCAAACGACGCGGGATTCACCAGAGAGAAACAGATTAAGAAGACATCCTGCAACCAAACGGTTAGTAGAATTAGGTTTATTTTATTTATTTATTTATCATTATCCCGTTACGTCCTTGACGTTGACAGGTGATTTCTCTTAAAACCAAAATCTATTGTAACAAACCACCAACAACAAGAACCAAAATAAAATACAAAAACTTAAAAATATACATTTTTTAGAAAATCTTCAAGTGAATACAATACTCCAGAAGCCATATCTTAAAGAGTTTTATTACATTTTGATATGCAATCAATTTCTTTTAGCGTTTAAGGCAGCTTATTATACATTTTAGGTCCCATATATTATACGATTGTAGAAAGGATTTTATGTTTCCCAACAAAACTTAACAATACTACCACATAAGCAAAAAAAAAAAAAAAAAAAAAAATACAATGATAAATGATAATATGTTCTTGTGCTCGGACAATTCTCAGTTTTATCTTATCAGAGGTGTATTTTCATCCAGCAGTTGAGTTCCTTCAGAACCATTATGCACATCAAAAGTAATTAGCACTGCCAAATGCATGTAAAACGCTCAAACAAAAAGGGGGTTTGATAATCTGTAGGGAATTTCCATTCTTAACAAGCATTTAAGATGATTTTTCAGGCATCATACGCCCAAATACACCCTAATTTTCTGAATTACAGCCCTTCATAAACTGCTTAATGGGTTGTTAGAATTATATTTTTTTTAATCCGGATATATACAAAGAGTACACAAATCTTTACAAGGTCAATGAGTGTTTTGCTAGCCTAGAAAATAGACCATCAGAGAGTGCAGTTGAGGGAGGAGCCTATTTGCCCCAAGACTTCGAAGACGTTGAATTGATTTCGGTTGACGAACGTGAAATTTTCAATGGCGGTTTGTGCTAGCCGGTAAAGCAAATTTACAACACTTGTTTCACAATACTGATTTTATTTTCAACTCGCGCTGCAATTATATCCCTTCGGGATATAGGCTTAACGATTTTAATGAAAATAGAATTTGACAGACTAACACCGCGATTGAATTTAATTTGCACGAAACGATCTTTTTGTTTACCTAATCACGGGGAAGACGGGGAACGAACTGGGTTGACGAAAGCGATCCCTGGCTGGCTAATTTCATCCCCACTCCTCGTGCACTGTGGGTACCGTCGTCTATTGTTTAATCAGCTGACTGGTTCTTCGCGTCCACTCATATTAATTTGTTGTGTATTTCAACAAAATCGCTACACCATACTATCAAGCTTTGCTCTGGTTATTTCTGTAATACACAGTGTGATTGAAATGTTCCGAACTGTATAATCTCAACTTATGCTGCTATTTAAGAGTTTTGTCTGACTCCTTGTGAGCCGTCCACCTTAAGGGATAAAAAAAGTAAAATAGCTTAGAATAGTAGGCATTTATGGCTATTATTGATATACCAGGTCTCATTACTTTATCTATAATGGTAAACAATATTACAAAATAAACAAACAAACAATAACAACAAACAAAACAAACAAACAAACAATATTGTTTATTATAAACTTAAGTTGACAAATTTGTTTTTACGGTGAAAAATTACACTAGCTGATTTGAAAATATTGTCTAGTATATTAGTGTTGCCATGGCTCACGATGGCGGCCGTGTGGTAGTCAACAGGCTATGTTGCAACATCACACTAGCCTGGTTTTGATATTGGCTGCCACCAACTGCAGACTCTCGTGGCCCGTAATATAATGGTTACCATCCTATCGAGCAAACTGGTCTGGAGTGGTAGACCCAAGGTCCCAGGTTCAATTCTTGCTAATCACTAACTGATTTCATCTAAGTGATAATGATGCTACTCTCTACGGCTTGTCTGAAGTAATGTGAAAACGCTTCCGAGCAAGAGCCGATTGTCGTAGGATGTAAGGGTGGGAAAAAGTGGTAATCATCTCTGACATTGGTGCGAGGAGATTTATTTCCTAGCATCTCCTCAATAGTTAAAGTAAGTCTAACTAGTAGTTTGGCGTGTGACATCACATAGCATACTCACAGTCTGGGGGTAGGAGAGCGGCCGCAGTCTGTCGTAGTCCTCCTGACCCGCTGTATCCCACAGCCCTAGGTTGATGGGTTTGCCATCCACCATCACGTTGGCCGAGTAGTTGTCGAATCTACACAACAAACAGTGTTGTTCAAGCATTCTCCTTTTAAGTATTCTTATTTTAAGTATTTAGTATTGTAAATGTTTTGGTCAATAATAAAACATGTCTTTTTTTTCTTCTTTTTCAAACTTTTGCGTCTTATACAAACTAACTTAGTTGTATTTTGTCATGGTTTTTGATTATTGAACGAAACTGTAATATATTATACAGTATATATATTTTGACCAATTTAAAAAAAATTACGTTTTGGAAACATTATTTTCTAACAGATTTAAGTAGCCTACTAGGAAAAACAAAATCCTATCAGAAAGCCCATGGATAAACTAAAACCAGAATTCGACCGTGGGTTGAATGTTGTGCAATTTTTTACTACATGAAAAGTGGTAATTCAGTAGAATCTACATTTTAACAACCCTGAAATGGTTATTTTTTTAATATACAGGGTGTCCAGCTTTGCTGTGAGAACTTGAACAGGCTATTTGATGAAAAAGTAGGGGGTTAAATAATTTCAAGATGTTATACAATAATTGGTCATTCACTGATACAATGATATATGTGCAATCTATATATTTAATTCCGTAAGCGAATCGGTCCCCACGAAATATCTCGAGCTAGGTAAAAGGTAGCATGGCTGTTGATGATTAATTCTAAAGCTTACGGTCCAAGGACGGTGGAAGAATATCAGAAGTGTCCAAAATTACCCCTGCTCTGCCCCACAGGCTGTCAGAGATCCTGTCATTTTCAAATGGAAGTACTGATACAGTGTTTCTATTAGCTGTTTTAAATACCAGCTGATGTAAACATTGTGTATTTGTTTGTCTATTGATTTAGAAATGTTCTTATTTTAGGATAGAATGGTGATGCAGTGAAATGTATCGTTTGGGGAAGACCGTGACTACGAAGGAGAGTATTTAGGAATGGTGCACAGCATAGGGAATTATTAAGGCCAAATTACAACGGAGGTGAAGGGTAGCCATTGCTGCTATGATGGGCCCCTAGTAAATTGTATTCCTCAACACTGCGTTCGAACATAATACATTAAGTTTTTTCATTAGGACGTACAGAAGAACTCGGTATGGACAAGACGTTTCAACTGTAGAATTCTTTATACTGTAGAATCGTTAAAAGCCTATTTTCCCATGTTTATTTTCCAAGTTTAATTAAATGAGTCATGCAACTTTAATAAATAACAGAAACGTCACTTAATGTGACCTTGTAACAAATTCAACACAGTCCCTCTCAGTGGAGGACTTGTGCTATTAATTACAAATCCCGAGTGTTCCGACAAATTAACAGCTTGAATTCTCAACTGTCTCTTCCTCTTGTGAAACATGTTTAACCTAAGATGTTACGTTTGAAACTATAAACGTTGGCTGAGAAAAATAAAATAAAATATAAATCATCTGAAAATTACTTGGACAGTGAAAAGGATAAAAATAAAAGGCTACATTTAAAAATAATCAAAATTATTTAATTGTAAATGCAAATGGAAGAAAACTTGTCCTACTGTAGATGGCTTGCTTTCTAACTTAAACTTGTTAATTCTCTTAATTATTTTTAGTTAAAAAATGACATAAAGAAATTGGGTTTTCAACACTTCCCAGCTACTTTCAGCTTAGGAAATTTCATTTGACTTTTATAAGTTATATCCAAATATTTTAGTGTCTAGCAACTGTATCAAAGGAGAGTAAAACAAAAGATAATAAAGAAAAACATACTGTAATAGAATACCAACATTTTTTTTTTTTTAAGAGGTTGCTGGCCTCTTTTAACCTTTCATTTCCGTCCACATAGACTACAGATCTGTGTGTGGAAAGTATCCAGCAAAACAAAGGGGTGAGCCGGTACAGTACAAATTTAGGTGAACTGTACTGATAAAATGTTTGCGGCAGTGACCAGGATTTGAACCCACAGCATTGCTGCCTTGGGCATGAAGTCTGTGACGCTACCGACTCACATGATTAGAATTTCTTTCTAAAAATGGGGTTCTTTTAGTTGTCTAAAAATTATTGAATTCGGTTGATACTCACACTGTGGGGATGTATTCCCCCGGGAAAGCGTTTGTCGTGTAGCTGATGAGAAGACATGTCTTACCAACAGCTCTGGAACAGACAGACAACTTCAGTACCAAATTAACAAAATTACAATAACTTTAAGATGGAAGTGAATGGTATTAATGGATCAATTTATGTTTTTGTGAACGTAACTCTTAAGTAGAACAAAAATGTTCAAATCTTGGCATGATTCCTGAAGTTTTCGTGTTTCTTGTCTATAAAATTCACAGCATCTATATAATTAATACGCTACATGAAACTTTGTCGGTTGAACTCCTCCGCCATTTCTTAACCAATTTTATCCATTGACGTCTCATTGGAAAGAGCATGTCGCGTAGATTTGCAAACTGCATTTAATTACATTTTTGAAAAAGTCCCTTGGGCTCTGCCCCAGTGGCTGTTAAAGTTCCCATGTTATCCTTATGAAGAACATAATTGTTTACATTTGGTCAGCTGTATAATTTAATTGCTGTTTTTTTTTTTCAATTCAAAGTCGCTTATGAGGTTTGCAAAAAAAAGTCGCAAATTATTCTCAATTAGTTTTTGTGGTTTTTACATGATATGATTAAAACCAAGTTAAAACTCATCGGAAATTATGATGACTTTTATTTGTTTTTAAATGACTACCGGTACTTTACTTCTTTGCAATTGCTTGATTTCGAGCAACATATTTACTAGTTTATTACTACTGTACCATAATGTAAAAAAGATTGTTTACTTTTAGTTCTCAGTTACTTTTTGTGGTTTTTACATGATTAAAACCAAGTTTCGTATTACTAAATGTTTTACTTTTAATTGTATAAGCGAACACATGTTAATTCCTTCTGTTTGGATTACCTAGCTTCAGTGGAATTACCTACTAAGTTAGAATGACTTGTTTACTATGAGAGTAAATTAACTTGGATTCTATTTACCATAGTTTTCTATGTAAACATTGTGGATTTAAGGTCTGTTTTTTGTGGGTAATGAGGGAGTATGTTTTATCTATGGTAATGAGTACTCTGTGGCTTTTGTAGCCAATATATTGACATTGGTACATTAAACAATAATTAGATGGGTTATTTGGTGAATCTAAACTTATGTTCCATAAGGCCTCTAACTAATTATTGATACACAGTTACATCCAGTAATCATTATTCGAAAACGCCTAATTTAAATTTCTAAACAAGATAAGATTTTGACTAGGTACCAAATTAAAGTTCGTCCCGAAAAAATAATGAACGAATGTCCATATCAATTGAAAATGGTACACGATTATCTAAACCATTAAACACATTTCCCATACACACTGTAGACTGTATTGGTGTCAGAAAGCCATGAATGACAGCCTCAAGTAAGAAATGCATAACTGGGTTGGTTAAACACAGAAATAGATTCTGTTAATCTAAATACCCAAACCACTTCCGCTATTTAAATAATTGTGGATGGCAATTTTCTTTCCAATATACAAAACAATGAGTGTTGCTAAAACGAGTGGCAGCAACAAAGGAATTTAATAACTGCATACCCATTGTCGGTTACTTGACAAACACAGGGCTGTCGGTTGTCAATAACCAACGTTGGGAGTTGGCCAAGTCTAACTTTATATTAGCGAACTTTTCCTAATAATATAACAAAGTTGCATAACAATAACGTAGTCCCCTGTTTAGACTTTGGGTCTCGGTTTAATAACAATAAAGCAATCAAAATGGGGTGAAATAACTGTATGAAAATGGTACAAAAATGTAGCGTCTCATAACTCTAAGAAAATTAAAGATTTAAGCAAACTTTGGTCTAGACAGTATTTTAATTTAATAAATCAAAATAAAGCAATTATATTTGTACACACATAGTACAACTTATAGTTTTTTTGACAGTGAACCTTTTATATGTATAAACAAATTTAAATCTTTATAAAGCTAATTTATTGTAAAACGATATACTCATCCAGTGTTGTTTTGATGTCTAGAAACTCTTAGAATTATGATTAGGCCAACTCGTGAAATTGGTTTAAATTAACAATTAACCTACGAGTAGTTTTTTCAATATGGAATTCTGGATGACTGAGCTATTTTGGTACTGAGCATTATATATTTCAATAGAAAATTAAACGTTTTGATACTTAGTAAACTATTTAGGTTTATCTCCGTACTTTGTTAATTGGATTAATCTTTGACTATATCCAAAAATTGACTAAGAATTATGCACTACTTTAATCAGTAACTAAAAAGAGCGTACGATAGCTTGTTCTTCTTATTGATAGTAATTGACAGTTATTATGTACAGTTGGTTGCAGTAATCAATCATTGGTTACAGAAACTAAGTAAAAATGTAGTCAATGCTTAAATGAGTCATAAAACAAGATGATAGGTATAATCCTGGTTCAGGGCAAATATGTCCAACCATAACACTTTATTTAAAAAAAAATACCCTTATCCACTCCATACTATGGTAAACCGTGGCATCTGTGTAAAACATTTAACTTATTTAAACACAATGAGACATGCAAGAGCACAATGAGACATCAACATTAAGCATGGCCTGCATTAATTTTTAATTCCATGATCAATAATTAAAGTGTCCTACATAACTGTACGCTGTACAAGGTTTGACTTAACGGCTCACCAAGCTCTACAATTAACTAACTCACTTCACAGATTGGGAGAATATCTTATCTCTACTTATCACTTATTTGTCCTATACCATAACAGTCATACTCAGACGGGAATATAAAATAAATGTAGATACGTAAGATTATTACTGGTTTTTTTCTTATCTAAAATAATTAAATAACAATATTTGTGAATTTATCAACTAAAATTCAATATCTGAACTTGGTCAAATTTAAAATTGAAAACATACAAAGCAGAGAGTTCAGTCAGCCTAACACAGTAAATGCAAAAAAGTTTAGTGTTTACACAAAAATGGTATTTTCCCTAAATTTTAAACAATGCCCCTGTTTAGTACCACTGTATAAATGAAGCACTGTATTTTTTCATCTTCACTTCTTTCGAGCACTGAATAATTTTTTGCAGCTTAGTAACTATGTTTCAAACAAACTTGCTCTTTGGCAGGGCACAATTCTGATTCGACTAGGGATGAAAATGAGAAGAACCATCAATTTTTCTTAAAACTGGGTATAACACTGCAGTTTTTTTTTAAATTGTTTCATCATTCCTATAAACGTTAATATTGTTAATTTGAGAAGTTTTATTTCAAGGGCCAAATATTTTCAATATCCCAGGGGTTATATTAAGGGAAAAACCAGAACTGCTGGAAATACCTGGACAAAACAAAATGAGAACAGAGGGGGAGGGGAATATAAATATCAGTGCTCATAGAAATGTGCTCGCATAAAAAGTGGTGCCTGGAAATTAAAAAAAAAATATATATATAGTACATAGACTATGTATTGTTCTTAAGACAGTGAAAAAGTCTTTTTATTTGTGGATGTATTTGAAATAATACACAGTTATAGCTCGGCCGCTTAGAAAACGACCTCCTCCAGCATTGGTTTAGCATTAGCGCTGATCGTTTTCTAAGCGGCCGAGCTATAGTAGTTCTCTGGTCATTCAGTGATAATGATTCGCCATAGGCTACGTATTTGCCACGATACTAAAGCAGGTTAATTTAGCCTATAGTTATGCTATATGAAACTCATTCTGAACACTAAATAAACATTATACTTCTTTCTACATATATACCAATATAACCATATACTCATATAGATATACTCATGTCGTTGAGAAGTTAAAACTAAAAACGGAAGACCAACGGGAGACAAATCGTCTAAAACGACCAAACTAATTTTAATCCAAGGTAGTTTAATCCAGTTTGCAGTTAAGACTGCGGGTGTTGAAAGCCTAATCAAAACTCACCCGTCCCCGACAAAAACACACTTAATGTTACTAATGGCTGCTATCCTGTAAGGTGACGGGTCGCAAGACTGTCTCACTCCGACACAGTCCATTGCTTCTGATACCACTGATAACACACCTACATGAGTCTACAGGTGCTATCAGACTGTTACTTATCATATCCGACATTCTGGGAGAAATACAAAGGATTACTCATGGTGCATTGTATTGCCAAGGACAAAAGAACACAAGTGTCGTCTGCCTATGAATATTAGCTAAAAATACTATAAGGTATGGTAAAATACTGTACTGATTAATTGCATTTTAGTTATTAGTTTGCAGTTTTTCAACTCATTGTAAAATAATCGGTGTCAGCAATCTGACACATACTTTCTCCCATTCAACAACCTTTATCATGAGTAAGCGATGGGAGTTAACTATGATATTTATAGAGGTATTATAAAAGTTGCAATAGCTTTTGAACCTTAATTTTTACAGCAATTTGGGATTACCAGGAGCAATGGGATCACTATTTTCTAATGACTTATAAGAAAAAATAACCATTACAGACAAATTTCAATCAGAGCCTTTTTTTAAATCCATTTTTTGCTTTTATGGATTTAAAGGCAAAAACAGCTGCTTTTTTAGTCAGGTGACCAAAACTTTCCACCTCCAAAATCTATTTTGAACTCTCTAGTTTTTCAAACTATGTTTCTCGCTACATAATACTCGCTCAGTAATGTTTTATACATGAAAATGAATCCTCAGAATCTCATCTTTATAATGGTATAAGATAAGATTCATTGAGATCTAAACCGGTTTTCATATTTAATAATAGAAAAACCCAACCCATGTCATCTTGGTCGACCAGTGCCACTGAGGACTCGCGTTTTAATGGTCGATAATCGACCAGCGCCAGATCTAGGGTTAATTATTAAATCATCCTGCTGAATTTAATTGGTGTTTAAGATCAACACTTATTTACCATAATGAAAAGTGCCATCTATATGTTGAACAAGTACAGCAATCATGTGCAAGACACTGAATGGTATCACTATCCCACTTCCCATAGCCTTGATGACTCATAAACATCATAGCCTACATGAATGGAATATAGCCTACTCAAGATGTCTCAAATGTAGTTGGTAGCGGTGTTAAATTTACATATAATTTCCTGTCAAGAACTGAAACAGATTAAAAGTTCCATATTTA